ATCTTATTCCGCTATTTTGGTTATATATATATATATATATATATATATATATAGAGAGAGAGAGAGAGAGAGAGAGAGAGAGAGAGAGATGTATATATATATATATATATATACTTATATTTGTTACCGTTTGCTTTGCAGAATTCGTTTCTTCCAACAATGCCAGAAGACAATTTTCAAGAGGCTTCTTCTGCCATAAAGGAAGGTGGCATGTGGTATGGTAAGTGTTGTATCATATCTGGAACTGATATATCCGGTATTTGCTGACAGTTGGCGTGGAATCGTCGTCATAGATCTCAGTGTTTATATGTGTTTATTTTTTTTCCAGAGTGTCAAAAGGGTCATCGCTACTTAATTGGTGAAGTAAGTATCGCTTATTGATCAAAAGACCGATGGACTAATTGATTGATTGATTGATTGATTGATTGAGAGACCAATCGATTGGTTGATCTACTGCGGTTTGGCGACTGAATGGTCGATCAATTTATTGATCAATTTATTGATAGATTACTTGCAAAAAGTTTTTGTCTGAAAATGTTCTTAAAATCAAATCGTTTCTGTTATTCCTGATAGTGTGGGAAACCAGACCAGGAAAGTCATTGCCCTTCTTGCAAGTCACCAGTCGGAGGCCTTGACCACAAACTGGTCCCCAACAACAGAGAAGCAAGCAGGCAAGTGATATTGTTTTATTGAAAAGTAGAAGGGATAGTAACAAACATTGCAAGGTTCTTTTTAGCTTCGTTTCGAAACCCTAGGAGAAATCCTCGTAGAAAACATAGGAGCCATGAGAAAACTTAATCCAGTTATGACACCTGTTTCCGATTAGATTTACCTTTACCCTATTTGTGCATATACCACCAAGCTGTACAAGTTAAGTGACCGCAACTGTTTACGCTTTCATGACTAGAAAACATCTCCTTGAATTTGCGCAAAAAATCTCGGGGACGTCATATGTTCCGTTAACCGAATAGTTTACTTAGAGCGGAGCCTAAACAAAACTGTGAGCATTCAGGAACAGATGAAGTCTTGGAAGAAATACTCGAGAATTTCTTTAAGTCATATAGAATTCCTTGTGATTTTCGTCTGCTTTGTTCTTAGAAAAAATATTTAAAAAAATGTTCTACGGGGCGCTGGACAAAATACTTATAGCTCACCGAAACTATTTTGCATAACGACCTTCTTGTTGAGTTTGATAAGTTTGTCACTTTTATGACAGTCGCAAAACGCTGTTAAACGTAAATCAAGAATATTATTAAGAATATTAAGAATATTAACTTATACTGCGCTAATATCAATATTCATTTTCATCAGCGCAGAAACTAAAATGTTACAAAAATCTAACTGAAAATAAACAACAAATAGAAAAAGAAAAAATCTAATAATTAAATAATATATATGCTAAACATATGTCAATAAAATATCTAAAAATGTATAATAGAGTAGTTTAAGTACAATAATATATATAATCTAATCAAATGTAATTCAATATTTAACAACTAAAAGCTTCTTTAAATAAATGCGTCTTTAAATATCTTTTACAAGATTCAACGATTTTGAATTTCTAATATGATATGGAACAACATTTTAAAGATTTGGCGCGGCTGTTTGAAAAAAACGGCCACGGAGCGTGGAGTACATCTTCCCTTTTGATAATTCCAGTAATAGATCATCATTACAAGATCGTAATCTGTACCTTCCGGAGGTCTTTAACTTAATTAATTCTAGTATATAATTAGGCGCAAGCCCATCAACAGCCTTATACGTCATCAGAAGGATCTTAAATAAAATACGTTGACGAATGGGCAGCCTGTGAAGTTTAAAAAGTAATGGAGTAATGTGACAATATTTACTAGCCATGAATATCAACCTTGCCGCTGCATTTTGCACTCTTTGTAACTTATTGATTTGATAGTCTGGCAGCCCAAAATATAAACTATTGCAGTAGTCGATACGACTATAAATTAATG